TTTTAAGAAGAGATTGAACAACCATTTGTCTGAAATGGCATAGGGTCTCCTGCTTGAGCAGGGGGTTGGACTAGAAGACCTCCAATGTCCCTTCCAATTCTGTTACTCTAATTTCTAATATGTCTTAATCTGTTTTGTGGTGGTACAGGCATCCTCAACTTGCAACCATTTGTTTAGTGGCCATTTGAAGTTACAACGGCACTAAAAAAAAAGTGACTCATGACTGGGGTTTTTTTGTTTTACACTTGACGACCATTGCAGCATTCCCATGGTCACGTGATCAACCGGCTTGGCAACTGGCTCATATTTATGATGGGGTGCAGTCTCCCAGGGTGACGTGATCCTCTTTTTGCGACCTTTGGATCAGCAAAGTCAATGGGCAGGCCAGATTTACCCAACAGCCGTGTGACTAACTTAACCCCTGCTGTGATTCCCTTAACAGCGGCGACAAGAAAAGGTCGTAATGTGGGGCAAAACCCACTTGACTCGCTTAGCACCATAAATTTGGGGCTCAATTGCGGCCATTTGACAGGGCTGCCTGTAGCAACGTCGCCATTTGGAACCGGGCCGTGGAAGCGGCGGGCGAGTGCGCATGTGCGCATCCCCACTTGTGTGAACAGCGGGCGAGCGCCTGTGTCTGTGCTCCGATTGTGTGAATGGCAGGTGCGATTGTCCATCTAGGCTGGGCTGGTCAGGGGAGAGGAGGGTGTGCTGGATGGCCAGGCAGAAACAGCCAAAACATTGGCAAACCTGGCCACTGTAAGTAAGACTGGTGGACTTCAACTCCCAGAATTCCCCATTGAGAAATTATCGGAGTTGGAGTCCACCCCTGTTAAAATCTCCTGGCTGAGGAATTCTGGGAGTTGAAGTCCACCCCTCTTAAAGCCTCCTAGCTGAGGAATTCTGGGAGTCGAAGTCCACCCCTCTTAAAGCCTCCTGGCTGGGGAATTCTGGGAGTTGAAGTCCAGCATTCTTACAGTGGCCATGTTTGCAAATGAAGTCCACAGAGCTTACACTGGCTAAGGCTGAGTATGTATCCCTGGTTTATACAGGTACTCCTTGCCTTACGACCACAATTAAGCCTGCAATTTCATTCGCAAGCCAGAACAGTCGTAAAACAAGTCCTGATGAGACATTATGAAGGTTGCAAATGGCGGTTGCATGATCCCAGGGTACTGCAGCCGTCACAAATACATGTCAGTTGCCAGGCCCTTGAAATTTTGATCAAGTGACCGTGGGACTGTTCCATCAGTTGGCAACGCGAGGACCAGTTGTAAGTCACTTTTTTCCACTGGCGTCGTAATTTTGAACCGTCATGAAACAAATGGTTTAAGTCTGATTGCCCGTGCTAAAATACAGGTATCCTGAGTGAGCCTATCTCCTAGCTGACGTGATGCAGGGAATGGTTTATTGGCTTGCTCTCTAGTTTACAGAACTTAGCGTGTGTGGAAAAGTGTGAGAAATTTTGTACAGGCAGTCCTCGGCTTAACGACCATTCGTTTAGTGTGTCATGGTTCCGACAGACGAAACTCTTCAAAAGAACTTTGAGGCATTGTTTACCTTAAAGGATCTTTATTTTGAGTAGCATAATATCGGCACTGCATAATCGAAGCCAAAAACTGAATTCCCCTCCCCTGAGCACATAGTATCAAAGCACAATTCCCTCCTCCAATTAACAGTCATAAATCACATTCTCCAATTAGCTTGAAGCGCAGGCTTCCTCTCCAGCTCACCAGCCCGCCAATTCCTTATCAGCTCTGGGCTCAATAACCTTGATTCTCACGCTAGGTTTAGTGTTGTTATGTCTAGCTCAGTGGTGGCGAACCTATGGCATGGGTGCCAGAGGCGGCACTCAGAGCCCTCTTTGTGACCACACACGCCATCGCCCCAGCCCTGTCACCCCCCGTGGCCCCCTCCTCTCCAGCACCCCCCCCGGAGGAGAGTTACCCTGGGCACAGCTTGTGCAGAGCAGCTGGGCAACGGGGAGAAGACTCCACCCTCGCGCCCAGATGATGCTGCGGAGAGCGGACAGAGGGTGTGACCGCCATGATGCTGCTGGGCCGCCTGGGCGATCTGCTGTGGTGGGCCGTGGAGGTGGTGGGTGGCCCTACCAGGCAGGAGAGGCGGGACGGGGCAGGGGTGAGGCGGTTTTGGGGCACTCTGTCTCTAAAAAGCGAAAGGTAAAAAAGATGGCTACATTTCCATCTGTTATCAATGCAAAAACATCCGATGCGAGCAGCGTTGACATCGTGGCTGTTCAGAGTTACAACGACACTGAAAAAAAAATGTGACTTACGACCATGGCAGAATCCCTGTGGCCACGTCACGTTTGAGGACCCCTGCTTTAGGGCAGGGCTTTTCAACCAGTGGTACGGGTACCACCTGTGGTACATTGGCACCTGGCAGGGGGTACGTGACCATCCTAGAAAAGTGGTAGCGGGGGAGGGGAATGAGCTGAACCGGTGGCAGCACCGCACAAGCGAGAGACGGCTGGGGCTGCAGGGCTGTCAGGGCTCAGCGGAAGCGCCAGGATCAGCGCCAGGATCCAGCTGGAGCTCGGCGCTGATCCTGGCGCTTCCGCTGAGCCCAGAAGAAGTGCCAATCAGCTGGAATGTTGCAGCCTCTCCAGGGTCTTGTGATTTACATTCAGATGCTTGGCAACTGATTCATATTTATGACGGTCACAGTGTCCCAGGGTCATGTGAAGTGAACAAAACCTGCTACAACCACCCAGCAGACGGGGGGGAATAAAAACCAAACACCCCCCACCCCACCCCTGCTGCCAATCCTCAACAGAAACGCTCACAACAATGAAAACCTCAGACAGGAGGAAGAGCGCCGCCGGGCGGGCAGGCAGGTGTCTTGCTCGGCTGTGGCTTGGGGGGCCCTTTTTTCAGTGCCATTGGAACTTCGAACAGTCACTAAGCGAACTGTTGTAAGTCAAGGACAACCTGCACTTTATCACTTTTTTCCTTTTTGGGGGGGGTCATCAAGTTTTTGACACCTTGCTAGGCGACTGGTGGTCCTCGGATGTTGCCATATCCTAAAAGTGGTACAATGGGTGAAAAGGTTGAAAAGCCCTGCTTTAGGGAACTGAAAGTGGGTCGTTTGTTGTGAGAAATCGCTCGTCCCGTCCTCAGAAGCACCCAGATCCGTGCGCTGCGTAAGGAGAACAGAACATTTTGCACATCGCCGCTTAAAGCTTCCGTACGGTGTGCAACGTCCCGGCTGCTTGCCGAGTGTGATGTGCTGCCAAAATTAACTTAACGACTGCCACCCTTTGGCAGAGCCCCCCCCTGGTTATTGCAAAGCGGGACCGGAGGTGTCCCAGGCTAGCTAAAGGAAGGGATGAGTAAAACGCAAGGCTCGGTGTGTGTGTGTGTGTGTGTGTGTGGCAAGCCTCGTGTGCCAGTGGTCCATGAGTTATTGCGGTTCCTGCATAGAGCAGGCAGTGTCAAGCCTGGATGGCTGCCTTTGCTGGGAGATTGAACCAAAAATATATCTCTGCAAACATCTATTTATGTAACTCAACGCAAATCTTTATTCGGTCTTAGCTCAGAGTGCAGAATACAGACATTTTAAAATAGTAGAAGTAGTAGTGAATTAGAAAAAAGCACAAAAGAAAGGAGATTGTGTATATGTGTGTGCGTGTGCGTATGTGCAGTTTATACTATATCTGTGTTTATTATGGAAATTGATATAGTTTATATTTATAAATTAAATTTAAATTTAATTATAGTTTATAAATATCTATTCTATTTCTCTCTTTCTCTCTCTCACACACACACGCACGCACAGAAGGTTGAGAGGGACAGGACAGCTGTCTTCAGATCTCTGAATTCAAATCACAGCATCGATGCTTTGAACCAGGACTCTTCAAACTTGGCCCTTTTATGATTTGTGGACTTCATATGCTGGTTGATGAATTCTGGGAGTTGAAGTCACAAGTCATAAAAGGGCCACGTTTGAAGAGCCCTGCCCTAACCCAGGGCTTTTCAACCTTTTCACCCATTGTACCACTTTTAGGATATGGCAACATCCGAGTACCACCAGTCGTCTAACAAGGTGTCAAAAACTTGATGACCAAAAAAAAGGAAAAAAGTGATAAAGTACAGGTAGTTCTTGACTTACAACAGTTCGCTTAGTGACTGTTTGAAGTCACAATGGCACTGAAAAAAGTGCCCCCCAAGCCACAGCCGAGCAAGACACCTGCCTGCCCACCCAGCGGCGCTCTTCCTCCTGTCCAAGGTTTTCATTGTTGTGAGCATTTCTGTTGAGGATTGGCAACGGGGGTGGGGTGGGGGGTGTTTGGTTTTTATTCCCCTCCCCCGTCTGCTGGGTGGTTGCAGAAGGTTTTGGTCCCTTCACATGACCCTGGGACACTGTGACCGTCATAAATATGAATCAGTTGCCAAGCATCTGAATGTAAATCACAAGACCCTGGAGAGGCTGCAACATTCCAGCTGATCGGCGCTTCTTCAGGGCTCAGCGGAAGTGCCAGGATCAGTGCTGAGCTCCAGCTGGAGCCTGGCGCTAATCCTGGTGCTTCCGCTGAGCCCTGACAGCCCCAAAGAAGCGCTGATCAGCTGGAAAGCGGCACTGATCCTGGGGCTTCCGCTGAGCCCTGCAGCTCCTGCTGTCTCTCGCTCAGGCTTGTGTGGTGCTGCCACCGGTTCAGCTCATTCCCTTCCCCTACTACCACTTTTCTAGGATGGTTGCGTACCCCCTGCCAGGTGCCAATGTACCACAGGTGGTACCCGCACCACTGGTTGAAAAGCCCTGCCCTAAAGGGTAGAAACGGTTTGCTTCCTTCAGCAGAATAACCCCCCCTCCCTTGTCAATAGCAAGCTTTAGATTCGCTCCGCGAGATTTAAAACTTCCCAAGTTTTCATCCGGCATAGAACTATATTTCCTTGCCTAATTTGGACCATCGATTCTTCTCTTCAGGATCCTTGCGTTTTTTGTCTTCGCAGTGGAGGGAAAAAAGAAAAAGACAAGTATTCAATCAAGTCCAATCCGAGGCAATCCTGGGATTGATCCGGGAGTGGGGAGACGTGACGAGGCCAGATCCGTAGCCCAGCTCCACCTGCCAACCTGTCCGACATGTCGGGGCCTGTGCCAAGCAGGGCCAGAGTTTACACAGATGTAAATACGCACAGACCACGGGAGTACTGGGACTATGAGTCGCATGTGGTAGAGTGGGGGTAAGTCTCCTGGCCCAGACGTGGCCTGTTTTGCTTTTGGGTTCCAAAGCTCTGGTAACAATGGTGGATTCTGTTCTATTCTGCAGTCTGTTATCTCTATTCTGTTCCTATTTCTATTTCGTTCCATCCCCACCCCGTTCTAATTTTCTGTTCTCACCGTCTCCTGGTGATTGGCCTAAAGTTACCCAGCTGGCATCCATGCCTAAGGCGGGCCTAGAACTCACCGTCTCCTGGTGATTGGCCCAGAGTCAACCAACTGGCTTCCGTGCCTAAGGCGGGACTAGCACTCACCGTCTCCTGGTGATTGGCCCAGAGTCAACCAACTGGCTTCCGTGCCTAAGGCGGGACTAGAACTCACCGTCTCCTGGTGATTGGCCCAGAGTCAACCAACTGGCTTCCGTGCCTAAGGCGGGACTAGAACTCACCGTCTCCTGGTGATTGGCCCAGAGTCAACCAACTGGCTTCCGTGCCTAAGGCGGGACTAGCACTCACTGTCTCCTGGTGATTGGCCAGAGTCAACCAACTGGCTTCCGTGCCTAAGGCGGGACTAGAACTCACCATCTCCTGGCGATTGGCCCAGAGTCAACCAACTGGCTTCCGTGCCTAAGGCGGGACTAGCACTCACCGTCTCCTGGTGATTGGCCCAGAGTCAACCAACTGGCTTCCGTGCCTAAGGCGGAACTAGAATTCACCATCTCCTGGTGATTGGCCTAGTCACCCAGCTGGCATCCGTGCCTAAGGCGGGACTGGCACTCGCTGTCTCCTGGTGATTGGCCCAGAGTCAACCAACTGGCTTCCGTGCCTAAGGCAGGACTAGAACTCCCCATCTCCTGGTGATTGGCCCAGAGTCACCCATCTGGTGTCATTTCCCACAAATGTTGAATGGGCCCATCGCGTACTTAAAAGCTTTTATCCCTCTGTGGCTAAAACCATGCGTGTAGTGGTTTCAAAGCCAATAAATAAGAAAATAAGAATTGGTCAGACAGTGACTTGATGCCTGCTGCAAAAGGAAAAAGGATTGATTCACTGCCTGTCCCCTCTATTAAAAGGAAGCCCTTGTTGACACATTATCTGTTAGGTATATCTCCCCTTCCTAGCAGGAGTTCAAGGCAACCTACATAGCACTCTCACCTCTATTTTTTATCTCACACACATACACACACACACACCGCACCCTGCTGTGTGTGAAGGAGGTTAGGCAAAGAGATTGTAAGAGTCTCCAGATCAGCTTCCATTGCTGAAGGTGGCCTTGTTCTTGCACTCTTGAGTCTTGAGTCTTAATCCTGTGCTTTCTGAAAATTATTTAGGTGATTAGAGGACTGGAGGCTAAAACATACAAGGAACGGTTGCTGGAATTGGGTATGTTTAGTTTAACGAAGAGAAGGACGAGGGGGGACATGATAGCAGTCTTCCAGTATCTCAGGGGCTGCCCCAAAGAAGAGGGAGTCAAGCTATTCTCCAAAGCGCCTGAAGGCAGGACAAGGAGCAACGGATGGAAACTCATCAAGGAGAGAAGCAACCTGGAACTAAGGAGAAATTTCCTGACAGAACAATTCGCCAGTGGAACAGCTTGCCTCCAGAAGTTGTGGGTGTTCCATCACTGGAGGCTTTTCAAGAAGAGACTGGACAGCCATTTCTCTGGAATGGTGTAGCGTCTCCTCCTTGAGCAGGGGGCTAGACTAGAAGATCTCCCAAGATCCCTTGCAACTCTGCAGGAATTTCTGAATCATTGCACAAATTCTGCCTGTTTTAGCTGATATTGGTCTAGACCATGGATCTTCAAACTTGGTCCTTTTATGACTCGTGGACTTCAACTCCCAGAATTCCTCAGCCAGACACACTGGCTGAGGAATTCTGGGAGTTGAAGTCCACAAGTTATAAAAGGTTCAGGTTTGAAGACCCCCTGGCTTAGATTGATCAGTGTTGCCAGGCAAATTTTAACTGTGCCATCAGCATAAAATCTGGAGTTTTGGTCTAAATTTTGACAGCGGGTACATAGGAAAATCTAGAGTTTAAGGGACCAGGCTAAACATCAGATTGTGAGTTCTAATCCCACTTTAGGCATAAAAGCGGGCTGGGTGAGTTTACTCCAATCACTGGGAGGTTCTGAGTTCTAGTCCCATTTAGGAAAAAATAAAGTCAGCTGGGTGACTCGGGGCCAGTCACCAGGAGACGGCGAGTTCTACTCCTGTCTTAGGCATGAAGGTGGCTGGGTGACTTTGGGCCAATCCACAGGAGACAGTGAGTTCTAGTCCCGCCTTAGGCATGAAAGTGGCTGGGTGGCTTTGGGTCAATCACCAGGAGATGGTGAGTTCTAGTCCCACTTTAGGAATAAAAGTCAGCCAGGTGACTGAGCCAATCATCAGGAGAACTGAAGAAAACTGATTTCTTTAAACTGATTTTCAAGAAAAATCAGAAAGTCCAGTTTCCTTTAAAATAAGAGCACCTTTGAGACAAGATGTATTAGTCTGAAACATGCTAGCAGACTCTTGATTTTTCACTACTACAGACTAACAGTTCCCCTTCTACAATGAGTTTTTTCTTTTAATACAAGAATGCTTTTGGTTGGTGAATAATTGAGTTCTTTCCCCTTTGCATAATGCTCTTTTTTTTTTTGTCTTTGTCATTACAGGAATCAAGACGACTATCAGCTAGTTCGGAAGCTGGGCCGGGGCAAATATAGCGAAGTGTTTGAAGCCATCAACATCACAAATAATGAAAAAGTAGTTGTTAAAATTCTAAAGGTGAGACTGCTGTGCAGTGGGGAAAATTTTACCCAATGCTCCTTAGTTAATTTCAGCCAATTTTTTATTCCTCATCGTTAGTATTGCTCAATAGTAGCAACTGTGAGAAGGATCTCGGAGTCCTAGTGGACGATCCCCTAAAGAGGAGCCAGTCGTGTGCTGCAGCTGCCAAAAAAGCCAACATAGTGCTTGGTTGTATTAACAGAGGGATAGAATCAGGATCAGGTGAAGGGTTAATATCACTTGACAATGCCTTGGTAAGGCCACACTTGGAATACGGCATCCAGTTTTGGTCACCACGATGTAAAAAAGATGTTGAGCCTCTAGAAAGAGTGCAGAGAAGAGCAACAAAGATGATTAGGGGACTGGAGGCTAAAACATATAATGAACGGCTGCTGGAATTGGGTATGTCTAGTTTAATGAAGAGAAGGACGAGGGGTGACATGATAGCCGCCTTCCAATATCTCAGGGGCTGCCCCAAAGAAGAGGGAGTCAAGCTGTTCTCCAAAGCGCCTGAAGGCAGGACAAGAAACAACGGATGGAAACTCATCAAGGAGAGAAGCAACCTAGAACTAAGGAGAAATTTCCTGACAGTGAGAACAATTAGCCAGTGGAACAACCTGCTTCCAGAAGCGGTGAATGCTCCAACAATGGACATTTTTTAAGAAGAGACTGGACAGCCATTTGTCTGAAATGGTATAGGGTTTCCTGCCTGAGCAGGGGGTTGGACTAGATGACCTCCAAGGTCCCTTCCAAAATCATCATCATCATCATTATTATTATTATTAGAATCACAGAGGAGACCGTCTGCAAATTAATAGCTTAGTTAATTGCTCTGTCCCTGTATCTTGGATAAATGGTTATCTGCCTCAGCAGGGGGTTGGACTTGATGATCTCCAAGGTTCCTTCCAACATCATCATCATCATTATTATTAATAATAATAATGATTTAATTATGGTTTGTTTGATAAATCACTATTGGCTAGGGTGACACCGAGTTAAGTTATAAAAGAGTAAGATAATGCTTACTCTTTTGCAGAGTAAAAATTTCTTCCAATAGAAGGAAATATTTTGTACCTCAAGGTTGAACTGCTGAGTGCTTGGTGCTCTCGTTGCGTGGTTCCTTGCATACATTTTGTTACCAAACTAGGTAACAGCATCAGTGCTGTTGTTTCCAAGAAAACCACCAAGCTCAGAGAGCACCAAGGACACCACAAAAAGGATTTATTATGCCACCCATGTTCCTCGCAAGGGGCCTCTGGGTGGCTGTTTTAGTGTTAACTGTGTCAACATGCTAAGAATGGGACTTTTAAAGATGTAAGCTAAATGCTATGGTGGCTAACAGCAAAGGACTAGAGATATGCATGCCGTTCCGTTGTAAAGTTAAGGTGGAGCTTAAGCAGATTAAATCAGATTTTAAACATACTTCTCAGCGCACGACTCAGAAGAAGCCTCAAGGAATGATTTTAAGGGGGATGTGAATGTGCACACACGTACAGCCGGATGTGGCAACCCAAATATTAGCAGAGTTATCCTGGTGTATCTTTTAAAAAAGAATACAGATTAGTAGTTAGAAGAGAGCTTGGAGGTTATTTAGTCCAACCCCCTGCTCAGGCAGGAAACCCTATACCATTTCAGACAAATGGCTGTCCATTCTCTTCTTAAAAACTTCCAGTGTTGGAGCATTCACCGCTTCTGGAGGCAGGTTGTTCCACTGGTTAATTGTTCTGACTGTCAGGAAGTTTCTCTAGGCTGCTTCTTTCTTTGATTAGTTTCCATCCATTGTTTCTTCTCCTGCCTTCTGTTGTTTTGGAGAATAGCTTGACTGCCTCATCTTTGGGGCAGCCCCTCAAATATTGGAAGACTGCTACCATGTCCCTCCTCATCCTTTTTTTAAACTATACTTACCCAATTCCTGCAACCGTTCTTCATATGTTTTAGCCTCCAGTCCCCCAATCATCTTTGTTGCTCTTCTCTGCACTCTTTCTAGAGTCTCAGGGTCTTTTTTCTTTTGTATCGTGGTGACCAAAACTGGATGCTGTACTGCAAGTGTGGTCTTCTCAGTGCGGTATTAAGTATTTTATTTTTTGCCTACGCTCAGGGAGATGACTTAACAGAGGGTCTGGTCTAATTTTTCTCCACATTTAAGAGCTGCCTGGAAAAAGGTTTTACGTTTGTTTGTTTTGATTAGTTGAAAACTTCATATTCTTGTGGTGTGAAATCCATAGGCAATTTTTTTTTAAAAAAAGAGTTATGATGACCTGTTCTCCTGGGAAGAAAGTCTAGGGACCAGTTCCTAAACCACATTTGCGCAGAAGAAAACAGACCTTTGAGCTGCGGGGCGTTGAGAAAAGGGCTCCTATGTTGTACTTCTTTGACTTTGTTAATTAGGGATTCTGGGATAATTAACTCCTAAGGGCCCAGTTCTAAAGAGCTCAGTGAGGGTTCCGTGGCCAGTGGGATTTCTCCTTGTTTTTCTCTCAAAGTTGCAGACTTTCCAGAATATTGCAAGCCTGTTTTTTTGGAATGTCCACTCGTTTCACTATTCTATTGCCATGGGAAGGGCTGTTTTTGAGGGAAGAAGACTCGGAGCTCCTCAAAGTCAACTTCTTGAATTGTCTTACTGATAATTCTGGGTTACTGATTTCGGAATTAATTGAAGCCGAGCATTGGAATTCTCCTTTGTGTATGTTTGATGGATGATTGTGTGGGATCTTTGATGCTCTTGGAGCTTGTTTGCTTTTTTTTCTTCAGAGGTTTCATGACCCACCTAGATAATATCAGGGCTAGAAGGGAGTGGGGTTTGCGGAGGAGGAGGATGACTGTGGGGTCCTTGGTGCTCTCTGAGCTTGGTGGCTTTCTTGCAGATGTTTCATTACCCATCTAGGTAACATCATCAATGCTAGAAAGGAGGAAGAGGAGGGCTGTGGGGTCCTTGGTACTCTCTGAGCTTGGTAGTTTTCTTGCAGACGTTTCATGACCCATCTAGATAACATCATCACTGCTAGAAAGGAGGAGGATTGTGGGGTCCTTAGTGCTCTCTGAGCTCTGTTGTTTTCTTGCAGACGTTTCATTACCCAACTAGGGAACATCATCAGTGCTAGAAAGGAGGAGAAGGAAGATTATGGGGTCCTTGGTGCTCTCTGAGCTCGGTGGTTTTCTTGCAGATGTTTCATTACCCAACTAGATGACATAATCAGTGCTAGAAAGGACAGGGGTTTGAAGAGTGGAGCAAGAGGAGGAGGATGGGGAGGAGGAGGAGGAAAGGAAGAAGGTAAGGAGAAGGAGGAGAGGAGGAGGAGGAGGAAGGAAGGAAGAAGAGGAAGGAGGAGGAGGAAAGATGGAGATAGGAGAAGAAGGAGGAAAAGGAAGAAGGAGCAGAAGGAGAAGAAGAGGAAGGAGGAGGTTATGGAGCAGGAGCTGGAGGAGGAGGAGGAGGACTGTGGAGTCCTTAGTGCTCCCTGAGCTTGGTGGTTTTCTTGCAGACATTTCATGACCCAACTAGGTAATATCTTCAGGGCTAGAAGGGAGTGGGGTTTGCCCTCTGTTTATACACAGTGGTTGTCCCTGTCAGTGTTGGTGGGACTGTTCTTGGTGGTTCTTTGACTGGGCTGTTGTTTGCTTTTAGCTTGTTGGTCTGAGCTGGTAGTTCCTTGGTTGTCTTGCCAGAACTGACAGAGTGCAAACTCCACTCCACTAACACTGATGAATTTCCCTAGCTGGGTCATGAAACGTCTGCAAGAAAACAACCAAGCTCAGAGAGCACCACGGACCCCACAGTCGTCGTCATCGTCGTCGTCTTCCTCCTCCTCCTCCTCCTCCTCCTCCTCCTCCTACTACTACTACTACTACTACTACTACTACTACTACTCCTACTCCCCCTCCCCCTGCAAACCCCACTCCTAGCACTGATGATGTTCCCTAGTTGGGTCATGAAACATCTGCAAGAAAACTATCAAGTTCGGAGAGCATCAAGGACGCCATAGTCACTCCTCCTCCTCCTCCTCCCTGCAAACCCCACTCCCTCCTAGCACTGATGATGTTCCCTAGTTGAGTCATGAAACGTCTGCAAGAAAACCACCAAGTTCAGAGAGCACCCAGGACAGACCCCAACGGATTAATCCCAAGCTAGCAATAGTCTCTTCTATTGATGTTTTAGTATCCTTTGTCTAACAGCCTCTCTACAGACTCCTGTTCATCTCCCCTCAGAATTTATATGCACCTTTTTTCAAAAGGCTTTCATTTTCATTTGCTTCCACAAACTCCCACAATTCAGTCACTTACTTTTCTGGTGCGAAATTAAATGCAACCTTTTGTGGTTGTTTTTTTTTAACCCAAATATATTCAACAAGCAGAACCAGTGAGAAAGGCTGGTTGCAGCTGCAGTGTTATTTCTCTGCCCCCCCCCCCCTTTTGCTGGGGCTCTGCCTGTCCTGACTTTAACCGGAGCCTTCCTTTGGTCAGCCGGTGAAAAAGAAGAAAATCAAACGAGAAATCAAAATCCTGGAGAACTTGCGAGGGGGCCCCAACATCATCGCCCTGGCCGACATCGTGAAGGATCCAGTGGTGAGTTGCTCTGAGGGAAGGAAGGCAGGGGCCAAAGGGGCTGCTGCCTTTTATTTTTATTTTATTTTATTTATAAAAGGATAGAGGATAATGTTAGTATTATCCCTCCCCTCACAGCTATATCTGTCTGCCACCTAAATCAATCTGTCTCTATATAATCAGTCTGTCATCTATATATGTCTCTGTGTCTGTCCTGTCTATCATCTTTATATCTTTTATCTGTCTGTCTATCTATCTTTCTCTCTCTCTCTTTCTCTCTCTCTCTCTCTCTCTCTCTCTCTCTCTCTCTCTCTCTCACCTATCTATATCTATCTATCTATCTATCTATCTCTATATCTATCTATCACCTTTCTATATATCTGTCTGTCGCTCTATCTTCTCTCTCTCTCTCTCTCTCTCTCTCTATCTCTATCTCTATCACCTTTCTGTCTGTCTGTCTGTCTTTATCTATCTATCTATCTATCTATCTATCTATCTATCTATCTATCTATCTATCTATCTATCACCTTTCTATATATCTGTCGCTCTATCTATCTATCTATCTATCTATCTATCTATCACCTTTCTATATATCTGTCGCTCTATCTATCTATCTATCTATCTATCTATCTATCTATCTATCTATCTTCTTTCTATGTCCTATCTTTCTATATATCTCTGTCTATCTGTCATCTTTATATCTTTCTCTCTCTGTGTCTGTCACATTTCAAAACTGACCATCTCCCTCACAGAGGGATTCTGGGCACTGTATATTGTGTCTTTGTATTGTTAGCTGCCCGGAGTCTCGACGCTGAGATGGGCGGCATATAAATTTAATAAGCCCACGATCTAGTTCAGGGATAGGCAACCTTGGCCCTTTTATGACTCGTGAACTTCAACTCCCAGAATTCCTGAGCCAGTATGGCTCAGCTTGGAAACCTCTCTCTTTCCCCTCAGCATGGCTGACTCAGGAATTCTGGGAGTTGAAGTCCACCAATCATAAAAGAGCCAAGGTTGCCTACCCCTGATCTAGTCCATCAGAGGCAGAGTCTCGCTCGCAAGTTGGCAGTCAGATTTCCTGTGACTCGTCTAGGCAAATAGCACATTTTAAGCTGTGTGTGCGGAGGACGAGCGAAATTGCTTATAAACACCTGTTGACCTTTGTCATTTCAAATACTGGCCCAATTAGAGAACCTCCAGGACTGGGCGTTTTTGGTTACAGGGTCCTCTGTTCCCCCCCAAAAAAAGCCTGTTCTGAATGGTTTGATCAAATCAGGCCTTAGAATTAATTCAGCTTTCTACAAAAGCAGCCTCCTGGACTGTAGAAATGCCGGCTGGCAGTCGGTCTCTGAGCAGCCTTTAATGGGGCCTAATAAATCATGCATTGGAAGAACCGCAGGTGTCTAAGTTTCCTTCCTTCCTTCTTTCTCCTAGTCACGGACCCCCGCCTTGGTATTCGAGCACGTGAACAACACAGATTTTAAGGTACGGTTTTCTAGCCAGCTTTTTTAATTTCTTGGCTTAAGGAGGGAGGGGGGAGGGAGAGGACACGGAGGCAAAGTAAGGTAAGGTGTCCCGTGATCTGCTTTTGGGAGGACTCCTGCCTTCTGGTTTTGAGTTGTGAAAATGTAAATTGAACGATGAAGACATAAAGGCTTAAAAAGTTAAAACGCCTCCTGGCCGGCCATCCACACCCAGAGAAGCAGAGATCAACACCACGATTAATACTACGTAAATAAGAAATAAACCATAGCCTAAGCGAGGAACCGCCAAGAACATTCCCACCAGCACGGGCAAGACAGGCCACTTGTGTATAGGGAGCAAATCTCACACCCTTCTAGCACTGATGGCATTACCTAGTTTGGTAATGAAATGTCTGCAAGAAAACGGCCTAGCTCAAGAGAGACCCAAGGACCCACGTCCTCTGTCCTCTATTCTACAATCTATTCTATTCTATTCTACAATATATTCTACTCTACTCTACTCTACTCTACTCTACTCTACTCTACTCTACTCTACTCTACTCTACTCTATTCTACAATCGGTCTACTCTACTCTACTCTGTTTATTCTATTCCATTCCATTCTATCCCATCCCATCCTACCCTATCCTTATTCCATCCTATTCTTATTCCATTCCATTCTATTCTTATTCTTATTTTTTTCCATTCCTCTTCTCTTCTCTTCTCTTCTCTTCTCTTCTCTTCTCTTCCCTTCCCTTCCCTTCCCTTCCCTTCCCTTCCCTTCCCCTCCCCTCCCCTCCCTTCTCCATTCCTATTCTATTCTATTTTCTATTCTAATTCTATTCTATTCTACAATCTGTTATTTCTGTTCTATTCAATTCTATTCTATTCTATTCTATTATTATTTTCTTTCTATCCTTCTCCCATCCTATCCCTATCCTATTTATCCTATTTCTATTCCTATCCTATTCTATTTCTATTCTTTCTCTCATTGGTTTTCCACCTCTCGCCTGAGGTGAGAACATTTGGCGGTTTCCAAATTAACAATTCACAAAGCCATTCTTGACCTGTGTTCCCAACTTCTTCCTATTTAGCATTTTTGTTCCAAATCCCTTGCAATATAGGTCGAGAACACTGAAATCGCACCGGACAAGACAGTTTATTTTGGGGTTCCGCCATCAATATTTTCCCCCTTGCAGGCACTGCACTCAGCCACTAGGTGGCAGCTTAGTGAAAAAGATTGACAGGCCCCTAACATGCCTGGCCCTTCCTTAATTGGGGGCTTACAGACCCGATTTTCATTCTAGTCCCACTTTTTTTTATTTCCTACCCCACAATCCCTAGTTGCAAACGGAAAGATTTCGGGGAGAATCAGCCAACCACCCCAGAAACACCCTGTGTGTGTGTATGTGTGTGCGTGGGGGTGGGGATAGCGGCATAAAAGTGTAATAATAAAAAATAAATAACCTGGGCAGAGTTAAGACACGCACTGTATCAAAAACAAAAGGGTGGGCCTCAGATTCTTTAGAACAGAGGAATTCTGGGAGTTGAAGTCCACAAGTCTTAAAGTTGCCAAGGTTGGAGACTCCTGCTTTAGAAAGAAGAGTATTTGGATAGCTATCAGAGGAGAATATAAACAGTACCGGTAGTCCTCGTATTAACGACCATTTATTTAACGGCCATTCAAGTTGGGGTGGGGCTGAAAAAAGTGACTTCCTTGCAGCATCCTGTCGGTTATGTTTGGATCCTTGGCAAGCCAGCATTTATTTGCGATAGTTGCAGCGTCCCAGGGTCGTGTGATTCCCCCCTCTGTGACTTTCCCAGGTGGCTTCCAAGAAGCAAAGTCAGTGGGGGACGCTGGGACCCTGTGATTCCCTTAACCGCCGTGTTCCGCTTAACAACGGTGGCAAAAAAAAAAGGTAAAATCAGGCAAAAGTCAGTAACTTTTATCAAGCCAGAAGACATTGCCGTGGGTGCCCAGTTCCCACTCTGTAAGAAATTGGGTGTATGGGGGGGGCAATTATATGTGCAATGCAGCGCCCCCCCCCTCTGAAAACAGTCCTGCTACAGGGATCTGGCACAGGAAAATGTTAAATTAGGACAATAACCAGTTCAGGAAATATGTATTTTAAGCCACCTAGAACTGTATCCATACCCTGAGATTGTGCATAATTTTCTTGTTGGGTGAGAAATTTGAAGGTTGATGCTGGATTTCTCTTTGACCGTGTTGTGTTAATTCCCCACAGCAATTATATCAGACGTTAACAGACTATGACATTCGGTTCTACATGTATGAGATCTTGAAGGTGAGTTGACTTTTGTTAAGTGCGTGTGAGGTGGTCTGGAAATAGCATTTGAGAAATAGAGGTCAGCCATTTTGGGGCTTGATAATGTCTTCTTTCGCTGAGGAGTTAAGACAGACCGGGATAGATGAATCAGATCTCTCTTGATTCAGAAGTGTCTCTTTCCTTTCCTCTCCTTTTCTTCTTCTCCATTTTTCCTTCCTTCCTTCCTTCCTTCCTTCCTTCCTTCCTTCCTTCCTTCCTTCCTTCCTTCCTTCCTTCCTTTATTTGTTTCTCTCTCTCTCTCCTTTCTTTCTTTCTTTCTTTCTTTCTTTCTTTTTTCCTTCCTGCCTTCCTTCTTCCTTCCTTTATTTGTTTCTCTCTCTCCCTTCTTTCTTTCTTTCTTTCTTTCTTTTTTCTTTCTTTCTTTTTTCCTTCCTTCCTTCCTTCTTCCTTCCTTTATTTGTTTCTCTCTCTCTCCCCCCTCTTTCTTCCTTCCTTCCTTCCTTCCTTCCTTCCTTCCCTCCATCTTCCTTTCCCTTCCCTTCTTCTCTATTTTCTTCCCTTCCCTTCCTCACTATTTAACAGTGTTGTAACCGATAGAACCTCAGAGTAGTAAGATTGGTTTCTCTTAAGAGTTGCCACTGCTTTATAATCTCACCTTTCCACCTTGAACAAATTGCTTAAGGAGGAAATGTTTCTCAACCTGGCAACTTTAAAGAGAGGTGAACTTCAAACTCCCAGAATTCCCCATGCTGGCTGAGGAATTCTGGGAGTTGAAGTCCACATGATTAAGGTTGAGAAACACTGGTTTAAGGTTTTGCTGCCTTGCCCTGTTCTTCCAGGCCCTGCCCCAGGCCTCACAAGGCCTCCCCCTTTCCCCAAGGCCCCTCGTGCTTTGCTTCCCATCCATTGGGGTCCCCACAGGCTTTGGGCTGTGTCCCACCCCACTGGGGCCCACACCCTTCTCCCCCCCTCCAAAGCCAGCCATTTCACACTTTCAAAGATGTCCGGAGCTCAGCTTAAGGGAAAGACGTTAGGCAAGCCTCTTACTGGGTGCCATGTCGTGATCTTGGAAGCGGCCGCCATTTTCTGAGCAGCTACACTGAATTGTGGCCCTTCAGAAAATGGGCTACCTATCGTTTGTTCCGCTTTGGAATGTGAAATGATATGTATATATCAGGGGTCTTCAAACTTGACCCTTTTATGACTTGTAGACTTCAACTCCCAGAATTCCTCAGCTAGGCACGCTGGCTGAGGAATTCTGGGAGTTGAAGTCCACAAGTCGTAAAAGGGCCAAGTTTGAAGACCCCTGGTTTAGGACTACATACCTGTATTACATTCTTTATGAGGGGAAAAAAAGCAGAAATCTTACCCTTGTTCTATATTTAGTGATAATTACCTCTCTTCCAGCCACGGAGCCACAAAGCAGCCCACAAAAATCTGAACTAGGCCTCTTATCTACTCTTTGTTTCCAGAATGTTCCTTCAAGATTTCCTCAGAATACTCCTCATACCTGCCTTATACATTCTATAGAACAGGGGTCCTTAAACTTGGCCCTTTTATGACTTGTGGACTTCAACTCCCAGAATTCCTCAGCCAGTATGCCTGGCTGAGGAATTCTGGGAGTTGAAGTCCATAAGTCATAAAAGGGCCAAGTTTGAAGACCCCTGTTGTAGTAGGAAAAGCAAAATCACTGGCCTGACCCCTGGTATATATGAACCCCCCCCCCCTTTCTGATCTTGGGGTATCTTTCACTTCTGCAGGCCCTGGATTATTGCCACAGTATGGGGATCATGCACAGAGACGTCAAACCTCACAACGTCATGATTGACCACGAGCATCGAAAGGTGAGGAACGATGGACAGTGAGGGTTCCCATTCTTTCCCCTCTTTCCTTCAGCGGGCTGCCGAGGCTTGCCCCCTTACCTTGTGGCCTAGTACAGGGGTAGGCTACCTTGGCTCTTTTGTGACTGGTGGACTTCAACTCCCAGAATTCCTGAGCCAGCCACGCTGAGGGAAAAGGGAGAGGTTTCCAAGCTGAGCCACACTGGCTCAGGGATTCTGGGAGTTGAAGTCCACGAGTCATAAAAGAGCCAAGTTTGAAGACCCCTGTTTTAAGCTATGGCTGTTTCATTTCTGAGCTGTCTCTAATAATTGTGGATTTCTACAGCTTTTTTATTTTTAATTTCCTTTGTTTCTGATTTAGTTACCCATTCCGTCAGGAGATCTGCAAAGTGTTGCCAACCAAGGTTAAAAAAAAATTCACCTCCCACTTTAATCTCTCTTCTTCTTTTTTAAGCTGAGGCTAATAGACTGGGGTTTGGCTGAATTCTACCATCCGGGTCAGGAATATAACGTCCGAGTGGCTTCCAGATACTTCAAAGGCCCGGAACTCCTCGTAGACTATCAGGTAATTGCGCTCTTGATGTGGAAATGACCACACACCTGGGGGGAAAAGGACGGCCGGAACCAGCCATTGGGCTGCCTCGGTAGAGGCTAGGCGCAAAAAAAGAAAGCAAAATGAAATGAAAAAATATAAATGATATTTAGAGCCAGTTTGGTCTAGTGGTTAAGGCACCCGGCTAGAAAGCAGGAGACGGTGAGTTCTAGTCCCACCTTAGGCAGGAAAGCCAGTTGGGTGACTTTGGGCCAGTCACCAGGAGACTTTGAGTTCTAGTCCTGCAGGCAGGAAGAAATGGGTGACTTTGGGCCAATCACCAGGAGGCTGGGAGTTCTAGTCCCGCCTTAGGCATGAAAGCTGGCTGAGTGACTTTGGGCCAGTCACCAGGAGAAAGTGAGTTCTAGTCTCACCTTAGGCATAAAAGCTGGCTGGTGACTTTGGGCCAGTCACCAGGAGACAGTGAATTCTAATCCTACCTTGGGCAGGAAAGCCAGTTGAGTGACTTTGGGCCAATCACCAAGAGACTGCGAGTTCTAGTCCTGCCATAGGTAGGAAAGCAACTGGGTAACTTTGGTCCAATCACCAGGAGATAGTGAGTTCTAGTCTCACCTTAAACATGAAAGCTGGCTGAGTGACTGGGCCAATCACTAGTAGATGGTGAGTTCTAGTCTCGCCTTAGGCATTAAAGCTGGCTGGGTGACTTTGGACTAATCACCAGGAGACTGCGAGTTCTAGTTTCACCTTAGGCATAAAAGCAACTGGGTGGCTTTGGGCCAATCACCAGGTGATGGTGAGTTCTAGTCCCGCCTTAGCCATGAAAGCCGGCTAGGTGACCTTGAGCCAGTCCCTCCCTCTCAGCACAACTCACCTCACGGGGTAATAATAATAATAATAATCATAATAATCATAATAATCATAATAATCATAATAATAATCATAATAATAATAAAAGTTGGAAGGGATCTTGGAGAAGGAGGAGGAGACGTTGGAAATGTTCCACTTAGCCACCGAAATTTGGGGCTCAATTATGGCCGTAAGTGGAGGACTACCTGTGGATCGGTAGGATGGAAATTATGGAGGCTTTCTTCCTGCATGCTGCATGCAGACTGTGCAAATTCCCCATGAGAGAACGCAGTCTATCCTTGTTGGGTCTTTTCCTTGTCAATCTGCAAGCGAGCCAGGCTGATGGGCTCCTTCTTTCCCCTTTACAGATGTACGACTACAGCCTGGACATGTGGAGTTTGGGGTGCATGCTCGCCAGCATGATCTTCCGAAAGGAGCCCTTTTTCCACGGTCACGACAATTATGATCAGGTGAATGTGCGGGTAGCAAAACCCCCCCGGCCTGCACCTTCGGCATGAGGTCAGCCTTGGTCATGGGTAGGCAGACAGGTAGATTTGCAATAGCGGCGAATATCTGTAGGATGAGGGTGAAGTTTCGTTCTCGGAACTTGTGGGTTGGCTTCCAAACGTTTGGTCAGCAGACTGGGTAACATCTTCAGCGGAGTTTGAGGGATGTTAGTATCGATGTTCTTCCGTTTGTGAGGACTTCAGGGGTGGGTGTGTCAAGTGAGGGTCTTGTGATGGGTCAGGGGTGAGAGGCTGGTGATGGGTCTTCTGATGGGGACCCACACCGACCCCAAACAGCACCAGTTTGATTGGAGCGACACAAAAACCATCGGCTACGCCACACCACCTTCGACGGTTGTGAGTTCATTGAAGCCTGGCACTGCACAAGCAGTTCCATTAACAGACACGTTGTCAGAGCATGCACGGTCTTGTTGCGCTGAGGTAACCCAGGAGTAAATACAGTAAACAGTGGTTTGTATTAAATGGTGGTTTATATTACACTATCTACAATATACGCTAAGAACAAAATACACTAATACAGCAAACTCCAACACACCTGTGGCTTATCGAATACATCTCAGTTGCCTGCTCAAGAAAGTTTCTCATTCTTAGCTATTTTAAGATTTTAAGCAAAATCCCGAAGCCAGCACAGCATGTTTACCCTTGGGGAAATCTCACCCGGGGAGTAACAGACGAGGTTTCAACTCAAGACTTCTGATGATAAGTAGACCTTGATGTGTGACTACAATTAAGCCCCAAATTTCCATTGCTAAGTGAGGCAGTTGTTAAGTTAGTAACATAGTTGTTAAGTGAATCACTGCAGTTGTTAAGGTAGTAACATGTTTGTTAAGTGAATCTGGCTTCCCTGTTGGCTTGTCAGAAGGTCACAGAAGGGGATCACATGACCCTGGGACACTGCGACCGTCGTAAATATGAGCCAGTTGCCAAGCGTCTGAATTTTGATGCCGCAGTGGTCGTAAGTGTTGGGAAATGGACATAAGTCACTTTTTTCAATGCCGCTGGAGCCTCAAACGGTCACGAAACAAATGATTGTTAAGTCGAGGATTATCTGTTATTAATTTTTTTTATCATTACTCCCCACCCTTTGTCTCCCGTTGTCTGTTTGCAGTTGGTGAGAATAGCCAAAGTGTTGGGAACAGAAGACCTTTACGACTACATTGACAAATACAACATTGAGCTCGACCCCCGTTTCAACGACATCCTGGGCAGGTAGGATGGAAGGGATCAAGAGCCAGACACGGAGGGCAGCCCACATTCCACAAATGGTGTCCATCGGTGTATGTGTGTGTGTGTTTGAGGAAGGGAGAGGAATGGAAAGTCCAAGGAAGTCCAGTTGCTGTAGGACACGGGTCGGCAACCTGCAGCTCTGGAGCCGCATGTGGCTCTTCTCCTGCAGCTCCCAGTCCTCCTCCGCAATTTGCAGAGAGAGAGGCACTTGCGCTTCCCCCTTCCTTCCCTCCCTCCCTCCCTCCCTCCCTCTCTGTCTCTCTCTCTCTCTCTCTGTCTCTCTCTCTCTCTGTCTCTCTCTCTCTCTCTCTCTCTGTCTCTCTCTCTCTCTGTCTCTCTCTCTCTCTCTCTCTCTCTGTGTGTGTAAAAAAGAGTGGCCTCACACTGTTCTCTGACAAGCTGACAAGCTTATTGGGTGGGGCTCCTGCCTTTGCTCCGTCGAAGCAGGAAGCAGCATATCTCTCTCTCTCTCTCTCTCTCTCTCTCTCTCTCTCTCTCTCTCTCTCTCTCTCTCTCTCTCTCTCTCTCTCTCTCTCTCTCTCTCTCTCTCTCTCTCACACACACACACACACACACACACACAGTGGGGGAAGAGGACTGGCAGACCAAGTGCAGGAGAGAGCCAGCCCAATAAGAATGTGTGTCAGCTTGTCGGAGAACATCATCAGGCCAGCTGGCCAGGTGAGCAGACAATCGGGGAGAGGGGGGGAGAGGAAGAGAAAGAGAGGGGGAGGGAGGGAGAGAGAGAGAGAGAGAACTCATGCACAGCAGCCTCTATTTCTTTTTAATTAAACTCTTCAATCAAGCCCCCTCCCAGTGTTTTCTGTGGGAAATGGGTCCAAGTGGCTCTTTGAGTGTTTAAGGTTGCCGACCCCTGCTGTAGGAGATGTCCAGACTGAGCCCAGGGGAGGGGGGTGTCCAACGCATCATCAGTCTTGAGTCCCTGCATCCCCACAAGAGATCTTGTTCCTGCTCATTTCCCTTGTCCGTTAGTAGCTCAGATTCTTGTAGGAAACTTAAGCTTGCAATAAATCATTAGACTTGTTTGAACTGCCTGAATATCCTGATTTTGCTGGCAGGTGAGAGTTGCCTTTTGGGAAATTATCTTTGGGAAACTGAAGAGCCGGTTTTGCCAAGGGGTGGGGGGGATACAGAGGTCATCAGGTGGCCGGTTTGATTGGTGTGTGTGTGTGTGTCTGTGTGTATTTCTATGAGGGAGGGTATTTTGGTAAGCTTCCCCAGAATGACCTTGAGTGATACCAATAAAGGACAATATTTGCACCTGAGGGTTGAAATGAGGAGGGGTCCTTGGCTTGCTTGTTTCCTTGCAGACATTTCATGACCCAACTAGGGAACAACATCAATGTTAGAAGGGAGTGGGGTTTGTGGAGAAGAAAGGAGGAGGACTCTCCTTGGTGCTCTCTCAGCTTGGTGATTTTCTTGCAGACATTTCATCACCAAACTAGATAACATCATCAGTGCCAGAAGGAAATGGGGGTTTGCTCTCACTCCCTTCTAGTACTGATGATGTTACCTAGTTAGGGTCATGAAATGCCTGCAAGAAAACTACCAAGCTCAGAGAGCACCAAGGACCCCACAGTAATCCTCCTCCTCCCCTTCCTCCTCCTCCGCCTCCCCCCCCCCATTAACCTCCCTTCTAGCACTGATGATACTGAGTTTGGGTAATGCAGTGTCTGCAAGAGAACAAGCTCAGAGAACACCAAAGACCCCACAATCCCCCTCTTCCCCTCCACAAACCTCACTCCCTTCTAGCACTGATGACATTTGGGTCATGAAACGTCTGCAAGAAAACAAGCAAGCTCAGAGAGCACCAAGGACCCCTCAGTCCTCCTCTCTCCTCCTCCTCCTCCTCCTCCTCCTCCTCCTCCTCCTCCTCCTCCTCCTCTCCATAAACCCCACTCCCTTCTAGCACTGATGATGTTCCCTAGTCAGGTCATGAAACGTCTGCAAGAAAACAAGCTCAGAGAGCACCAAGGACCCCTCAGTCCTCCTCCTCCTCCTCTCCACACATCCCACTCCCTTCTAGCACTGATGATGTTCCCTAGTCAGGTCATGAAACGTCTGCAAGAAAACAAGCAAGCTCAGAAAGCACCAAGGACCCCACAATCATCCCCCCTCCTCTCCCCTCCACAAATCTCACTCCCTTCTAGCACTGATGACGTTTGGGTCATGAAACGTCTGCAAGAAAACAAGCGAGAGAGAGAGAGCCCCAAGGGACCCCCTAACCTTGAATTGGGGAGCCCTAGACATTTTCTTAAATAAGGCAGTTTAGAACAACCTGACGCAGCTCCCAGAGACAGGTCAAAGGCCGCTGCCCTGATTGCGCTTCTTCCTTGTCCCGCAGGCACTCGCGGAAGCGATGGGAACGTTTTGTCCACAGTGAGAATCAGCACTTGGTCAGCCCCGAAGCCTTAGATTTCCTGGACAAATTGCTGCGATACGATCACCAGTCCCGACTGACGGCAAGAGAAGCCATGGAGCATCCTTACTTCTGTGAGTCCGGCTCTCGAGAAGCCCGGTCACATGATCAAAATTCATACGCTGGGCAGCTGGTTCATCTTTATGACTGCTGCTGTGTCCCAAGCTCACGCGATCCCCTTTTGCGACTTTCTGACTGGCGGGGTCGATGGGGGAAGCCAGATTTAGTAACTTAGGATCCTAAACTTACCAACTGCCGTGGTTCGCTTAACAACTGCAGCAAGAAAGGTCGTAAAACGGGGGCAAAACTCCTTGAGCAAACGGTTTCATTTAATGACAGAAATTTGGAGCGCCATTGTGGTTGTATGCCGAGGACTACCTGTAGATTTACCCAGGCCACACATGCACACCCAATCTTAGGGCTTTTGCAACAGAGGGAAGGTGAGATAATGGAAGTCTAAAAGCTGCTTTTACTTTGAAGACGTTTCGCTTCTCATCCCAGAAGCTTCTTCAGCTGTGACTGGATGGTGAGGAATGGAAGGATTTATACTCCTTGCAGACAGCTGGTCATTTGCATTCTTTCAGAGAGTCGCTGAGGCCACTTGGAGATTGATCTGTGTTTATCTGTGTCCTCAGGGTCACTTGAGTAGTGCAAATGGGCGTGGAGCCTTCTTGGCTGCAGGATGTCTTCTGCCCAAGAAGGCTCCACACCAGGGCGTCTTCAGACTTGGCCCGTTTATGACTTGTGGACTTTAACTCCCAGAATTCCTCAGCTGAGGAATTCTGGGAGTTGAAGTCCACAAGTCATAAAAGGTTCAGGTTTGAAGACCCCTGCTCCACACCCATTTGTACTATTCAGGTGACCCTGAGGACACAGATGAACCTCCAAGTGGCCTCAACAACTCTCTAAAAGAAGGCAAATAACTGGCTGTCTGCAAGGAGTATAAATCCTTCTATTCCGCCACCATCCAGTCAGAGCTGAAGAAGCTTCTTGGATGAGAAGCAAAATGTCTTCAAAGAAAAAAAACGAGGAAGTCCAGTTGCCTCCTGAAAAAGCAGTTTAGGGACCTAAATCCAGCCATGACCTGGATGACTGAGAATCTCCATAAACAGTGAGACTTGGAAACTACTCCCTCCAACGGGGATGTTTGTTTGTGCGTACAGATTGTCAGAGCGTGCACAGTCTTATTGTGCGAGATAACCCAGGAATAAACACAGTAAACAGTGGTCTATTTAATATATAGTGGTTTATCTTACACTATCTACAATATCATACACCAGGAACAATATATATACACGTGCTAATACAGCAGGATCCAACACACCACAATTAAAGCAGGAAATAGAAGAGACAAAACACATCGGCAGAGCCTTCCCCCTTACGCAAAGGCTCTTAAAGAGACACAGACCCTGCTGAGTCATTTCCATCATTACATCATACATCTCCCATTACATAAGCTGGTTAGCTGTTTAAATTATTACCTTGACACAGATCAATTCTTGACTTAACGACGGGTTACTTAGCAAGTGTTCGAAGTTCCGATAGAACTATTTTGGGCTTCCAAAGTTTCGACGGTCAGCCCCCCCCTTCCCAAATTTCGGGCATTTATCAACGTCCGTTTGCAGCATCCTACAGTCAGGTGATCACATTTTACGACAGTTTTTGTCAAAAAAAAAAAACCCCTGTCCTTCCCATTTCCGGCAAAACGGCAGCCAAAGGAACCATGGATTCGCTTAATGACCATGGTGTTTGCTTTAATGACCGCCAGAACAACAACAACAAAAAAAAGACCACGACTGTCAGGGCTGACAAGCGTAACGAGCAGACCCCGTGGCGGTCATCGTATGTTTTTCCTTCCCGTGGCTCCGAGTAGTTCATGCAAACGGTCATCCTCTTCTTTCTCGTCTTTCCAGACCCGATCGTGAAGGACCAGGCTCGGATGAACTCAGCCAGCCTGCCAGGGAGCAGCACACCTGTGAGCAGTGCTGGGATGCTGTCAGGTGGGTCCGTCCGGGGTGCTGGAATAGGAAACAGGGCTGCTTCTCCCATAAGCCATTCTGTTCCGCTGCTTGGATTCCCTGACGGGGCAAGCCACTGCATATTAACAAATCCCACTCTCTTCTCACACTGATGATGTTACCTAGTTGGGTCATGAAACGTCTGCAAGAAAACCACCAAGCTCAGAGGGCACCAAGGACCCCACAGTCGTCCTCCTCCTCGCAAACCCCACTCCCTTCTAGCACTGATGATGTTCCCTAGTTGGGTTATTAAACGTCTGCAAGAAAACCACCAAGCTCAGCACTAAGGACCCCGCAGTTCTCCTCCTCCTCCTTCCCCCCCCCCATTCCTCACTCCTTTCTAGCACTGTTGATGTTGCCTAGTTGGGTGATGAAACATCTGCAAAGAAACCACCAAGCTCAGAGGGCACCAAGGACCCCACATCCTCCTCCTCCTCTTCTTCCTCCGTCCTGCCTCAGCTAGTGCTCCCAAGAAAGCAGAGCTCTTGAAACTGGCATTGTTTCAAACAGGCACTTTTATTGGAAGACAGTGAAAGCAGGAAAGCAAAGCATGATCTAAAGAATTCCCGGGTAAATCTTTACAATAAAACTTCCCTTCCCAAACCCCCTCCCCAGAGTCCAACTGTCCAGTTCATTGCCAGCCAATCCACAGGTGCAAAGTTGTTACGGGAACTGGAGCTGATAGGTTTTCACAAGGTAGTGGAGATGATAAGGCAGATGGGCCCTGGCACATTCCACACCCAAAGGGATACATCATAATTAAGAGAGAACAAAGTAAAGGAAACACATCCGTGAGCCCCCCTCCCAGCAGAGCGAAACCTCCTCCCCCCTCCCTACAGAATGGCAGAGCCCTGAAAATAAGCATTGAAGGGGTTCCTGACACCTCCCCCTCCTCCTCCTAGCAGACCCCACTCCCTTGTTGCACTGATGATGTTCCCTATTTGGGTCATGAAATGTCTGCAAGGAAACAATCAAGCTCAGAGAGCACCAAGGACCCCAAAGTCATATTCCTCCTCCTCCTCCTCCTCCTCCTCACCACCACCACCACCACAAACCCCACTCCCAGCACTGATGATGTTCCTAGTTGGGTCTTGAAATGTCTGCAAGGAAACAACCAAGCTCAGAGTACCAAGCACACCAGAGGCCATTCTTATTTTTTTTTTTTTTTTGGAGAAGGGGGCAAAATTACTCTCTCTGGGTCCCTAATTTTCTCCTTTTCTTTCCCCTCCCCCCAGGGATTTCTTCAGTGGCGACGTCTTCCCCCCTCGGACCTCTCGCCGGCTCCCCAGTGATTGCCGCGGCCAACCCATTGGGCATGCCAGTACCTGCTGCCGCGGGGGCTCAGCAATAAAAGGACCGCCCCGTCTCCCCAGATGCCGGACTGGAGCCACCATTAGGGCTGAGGGTCCTCCCCCCCCCACCCCCCTACCACAGCCACTTGTAGCCAACGTTTGGGGCGGGGGCGGTAAGAGAGAGACAGGAGGAGCCATGTCTGAACCGTTGCTTGTGGATTGATCGTCCTTCCGTCGCGTCATCCATATGTATATCTCTCTCTCTTTCCCTGGATATATATAGATATGGATGGATCTTCTCATGCCGAATTGCCCCCCCCCAGCCCGCCTGCCTTTTTTTTTTTACTTGAACTTTTTGTAACTCAAGAGGAACCCCTTGGCCAAAATCTACCCGCCGAGACCGTGTCTCGTCTGTCCTGCTCACCGTCGCCAAGTCCTCCTCGAAAGACTCGCAAAGCGAGGACGCCGGTTCTTCCCGATCTTGGTTTCTCTTGTCCTGACGACGCAGCCTGTGCCCCCCAAACAGCCCCCTCCTCCCCAACGCAGGGGAAACGTGTCGCCATCACAACCCTCCCACCCCTGTTGAATTCCGGCCTCGGGAAGCTGGCAAGAAGGGGACGCCGGGCTTCTGGAAGGCCATGTCGCCGTCTTCTGCAGCGGCGCGGAACGAACTCGGTTGCGGAAAAGAAAGACCACAACGGTCAAGATTCCTATGGGATTGTCGTCTTCTCATCGTAAAGCCTCCAGGCCTCGCCATTCCCGATCCGTATCTTCCTCAAAAGGTATCCGGCCCCACCGCAAAAGCTCTCCCCCGTAACGTCTTCTGGAATTCCGGAACATAATTTTTCACCTGTTTTTCCTTTAAAAAAAAAAAAAAAACCATCTCAAATTTCGAACAGGTTAGATCTTGGGAAACAAAACGAGCTGAGGTGGGGCGCTCGCCTGTCCTTGCCGACCTGCCCCCCCTTTTTTTTCTCCATGTGGTGAGAGAGGCCGTTGTGCGCGTGCCTGCGTGTTACTTCAAGGGAGCTGCCGGGAGAGTTGCAAGCAGGCTGTGACTTTCCACCCAAAAAAAAAGGTGTGAAAAAAACAACACAAAAACAGGCCAACAGCGTCCTGGTGGAGGACCGTGTCCTCCCTTTTGGGGCTGTGTTGTCTTGCCGACAACACGCCCCACCGAAGACTCCGTGTGTAAAATGGGTCTCGCTCTTCCTAAGCTGAAATACCCGACGTCGGAATTCCTGGCTGTAAATAAACTATTTTTTGATTTTTTTTAATTTATCAAAGGTTAGGTTTAAAGTTGGCCTGTGCGCAGAGGTTCTCACTGGGCCAGTATCCAGTGTTCGACATGATGCGCAGCCTCTTAACCCCGGGATTGGGGCTTCGGACCCGGAGGTAGGGCTGTGGCTGTGTGTGACCCCGAGATTTCCCAATTCTTTCGCCCCGCTCAGAAGCCTTACAAGGAGCATGTTCACAAGCCAAAATGTCGCTGGATTTTGAGTTTTGGGGGGACCCTGTGTTTTCCTTCTGTCGCACTGGGATGTCGAGGGGGTGGCAGCAGTAAAGGGCAGAATGGAAGACCTCCCCCCCCCCTTTCCAAATCTCCAGGGTCCATAGCTGGAACAGCCCATCCGATCCTATAGGATATCACCGTTGGGACACTGTTACTAGAGGCCTGTTTGAAACTTGGAATTCCCGTGGGGGCATTTTTGCGTTCGTCGGGGGCAGGATGAGACCCCGGGTGCCAGAGCAGGAAGCGATAGCACGGGACCCTGGGTTTCTTTTCCTTCCCTCTCCTTAGGCTCATGAGAAAGGACTTCCGGATGCCCGCCGGCCGGATTTTCCCGCGGTGGGTACCGTGGCACCTGCGAGAAATTGGGAAAGGCAGCATAGGCGCGCCTAAATTTGCACTAGGACAGCGCCCCCGGGGACTCGGCCCTTTTGCTTTCTTTGTTTTGATCCTTGAATTTGGCAAGCAGGGCGAAAGAAGGCATTCGTCGCGGGCTTCCCAGGAGTCGAGGGTGCCCGGTGCGAGGCGACGAGGATTTGGAGGATCACCAAGGGGGAGCAGTATCCATCAAAAAGCTAACCCCAAGACCGGAAATATTTGGTTGAGGGATTGATGTAAACCAGTGTTTCTTTGATTCCTTCCCCCTTTAAAGATGCGTGGACTTCCAACTCCCAGAACGCCTGGCAGGAAATGCATTCTGGGAGTTGAAGTCCACGCATCTTAAAAGGGGAAGGAATTGAGAAACCTACATCTAAACTTTCTTCCCGGTGCTTATCCTGGCCTTGCTGCCCAAAAACCTGCAGATTGTAACAACGTCTGTGTTGTAAATTACCTCATCTGTATACGTTGTATCAGAACACTTTTTTAAAAATTTCTCAGCACTTCCTGCGGATATTACTTTTTTTTTTCTCTCTTCTCGGGAGATGGGGGGGCTGGCATTGTGTGAGATGGCAGGAAAAGGAGAGAAAAAAAGGAAAAGTAACGGCAGTATAAATAGTCCTATTTGCAAATTTGATTTTTTTTTTAAAGATCTTGTTTGAAGTGATCTTTTTTTTATTATTATTATTATTTTGTTGAAATTTAGATTTTTTTCCCCCTTCTCTTTCTCTTTGGATTGACCTGAACGGAATTGTAGTGTCACTGTTGAAACTAACCCTTAATTGTGCTGAGAAGTTGTGCCATGGAGGTCTTTAATTTTTTTAAAAATAAAATAATTGAAACAAAAGCCTGGCGGGTTCATACTCCTAAATAAAAGCAGCAGTGGGATGGATTTTTAACTTCTGGGCCAGGGGTGGTCAAACTCGGCCTTTTTATGACCCGTGGACTTCAACTCCCAGAATTCCTCAGCCAGCGTGCCTGGCTGAGGAATTCTGGGAGTTGAAGTCCACGAGTCATAAAAAGGCCGAGTTTGAAGACCCCTGTCTTAAATCTAACAAACAAAATGGAGGCTGGCTGAGGAATTCTGGGAGTTGAAGTCCACAAGTCATAAAAGGGCCGAGTTTGAAGACCCCTGTTCTAGCCTTTAAAGCTGGTTTTTGATGTCTTTCGTTGCTGGTTGCTGAGTCTGGTACTTTTAGTTAACTACTGCACATTTGGGAAAAGATAATACAAGAAGTCCTCAAGTTACAACCGTTGGTTTAATGATCGTTCAAAGTTATAACGGCACTGGAAAAAAAAGGACTTATGAACATTTTTCCTCACGACCGTGGCAGCATCCCCTGTGGTCACGTGATCAAAATTCAGATGCTGGGCAACTGACTCATATTTACGACAGTCGCAGTGTCCTGGGATTGTGTGTGATTCTCTTTTGCGACCGTCTGAGAAGCAAAGTCAATGGGGATGCACTTAACAACCATGTAACTAATTTAACAACTGTAATGATTCACTTAACAGCTGTGGCAAGAAAGGGTGTAAAATCGGGTAAAACTCACTTAAGAATTCTCAAAGATGCTTTTTCAGGAGTCAATTGGACTTTCTTGTTTTTCTTTGAAGACATTTCGCTTCTCATCCCAGCAGCTTCTTCAGCTCTGACTGGATGGTTGAGGATGGAAGGATTTATAAGTGCTGGTCATTTGCACTGTTTTAGAGGGTCGTTGAGGTCACCTGTAGGTTTATCTGTGTCCTCAGGATCACCTGAGTGGTACAAATGGGTGTGGAGCCTTCTTGCAACTGCTGAAAGGGCTGTTGTAGAAGAGCGACACAGATAAACCTCCAGGTGGCCTCAATGGCTCTAAAAGAATGCAAATGACCAGCCCTGGGTCCCTTCACTGAGTCTGTGTTGTCTGCATCTCAAACTGGAGCGCAAATGCTTCCTGTAGTCTGGAATGTTTTCTGGAAATCAGTTTCAGAACTGCACGAGCATGAACGGATTTCCAGAAAACATGGCAAACTATGGGAACCATTTGTGCTCCAGTTGCAGATGCAGACAACACAGACTTATCCCCATCATCCTGCGCCCGTCTTCAACCGTGAAGGGACCCAGGGCAGAAAACATCCTGTAGCCAAGAAGGCTCCACACCCATTTGCACCACTCAGGTGACCCTGAAGACACAGGTAAGCCTCCAAGTGGCCTCAACGACTCTCTAAAAGAAGATAAAGAACCAGCTGTTTGCAAGGAGTATAAATCCTTCCCTTCGCCACCATCCAGTAAGAGCCGATGAAGCTTCTTGGATGAGAAGCGAAACATTTCAAAGGAAAAACAGTCCAGTTGCTTCCTGAAAAAGCACCTTTGGAATAACTATCATTCATTCAGCACTATCATGCTGTACTTAACCACTTTTTGCTTAGGACCGTTCCATCACCAGAAAATGTGACCCGTGCCTGGTTTTCACAGGACTGTCACAGCATCCTCATGATCAGAATTTCGGTGTTTGGCAAGTGGCATATATTTATGACCTTCGCACTGTCCTGGGCTCATACGGTCAACTTTTGTAACCTTCCCAGCCAGCTCCCGACAAGCAAATTCAATGGGGGGGAAGCCAGATTCGTTTTAACAACCGCTTGATTTTCTATTTTTCTCCCTTTCTGTATTTGTGGTGATTCGCTTCACAACTTTGGCAAAAAAGAAAAAAAAAGTGGTAAAATGAGGCACGGCTCACTTAACAACCGTTGCTCAGCAATGGAAATTTTAGTCTCTATTGCGGTCGTAAGTCGAGGACTACACATATTTTGCCATAACTTTCGTAAACAAATAAAATTCATTATTGTTTTCTGCATTTTGAAATGCACTTTTCTACCCATTCGGAGTCAAGAAATGCGTCCAATACCGTTTTCCTTTCATGGATGGAAATTCAAATTATGTTCCACCAAGAGCTCCTTCTCTATGGAAAAGACCATGGAGATACGAAAATAGAAGAGCCACCAGTATCTTGCCCGTATTGATTCCTGACTAATATTGAGGTAACTTGTCATTCTCAGCAGAGCAGAACCTATTTCAGGTAAGAGAGAAAAGGAGAGTTCCGCTCTTACGACCCCCTCCTGCCTTTTTTTCCCCCAGCAAACAAGCGTAAGCCGTCGTAAAACGAAGGCTATCTCGTGCCTTTAACAAAG